AATCTTCTCCTATATGTATTACAGGTATGAACGATTAATTATTTAAAAAAAATATCTATTGAATCGTTTCACTCATTTGCAAACTTAACTTTAATCTTGTATTTGATTGGATTGTTTTATAGTTATAGTTGGTTCTTACCTGGACGCATTAAGAACCATGCATCCAGGTAGTGGCATTTTATCCATGAATCTATTCATCTTGACATCAAAAGGTAGACAGCATTTGAGGTGAAAATTACAGAAACCATATCTGAATATCCTATTTTAGGTATCACAGCTCTTCTCTTTTTTTCCACTGTGATAATTTTGCATGGTATTCAGATAACTCCATATCTTTTACTATATATTTATTATTATTATAACTTTGTTTCTTCATTTTATGTAATAATCAGGCACCCTACAGGCTGACCTCTTGAGCTTATCCAACAGCAAAGAGTAGGATGATTTTATGAAAGCTACATGACCTAAGCAAAAAGAAATGAAACTGATTACATTTATTTTAGTTAGTAAACTGTGTTGCAGGAGAATTGAAAACCAGAGAATCAGGCTTCATGTTTCTAAATTTCATTTGATTTATGACCATGTATGCCTGTCACTACCTTCATTGGTTTGCAGATTAAAGTTCTTTCATGGCTCTCTGGCTATTGAGTGTTATTGGTTGGAGTTACAATGGTTTTCTTGTGTAGTTACAAAGCCATAAAATTGATCTTCAAAAGTTGAAGTCACATCTTTGAACATACACCCATTGTTAGATTTAAAAGTAACCCCTGGCAAGCCATTGAATGATAATCTTGTTTGGCCCTTGGACAAATTAAATGCTTTCTCAGAACACTGTTTCGAACTTTTAACCCTAATAAAATCCATTAGTGACCAAGCCTCTCTAAGCACACACCACATCTCAAGAGAGATTAAGCCAAAGCATAAAGGCTTTTTGTTTATTACACTCAGAAAACAAATATAAAAATATGTTGTTATATGATTAGGTAAATACAATTGATGAAAAACACGTTTATCCATGTTTCTAGAAAAAAAAATGAATTGCTTGTTTTACTCAAAGATGTTGAAATATGCATAATTTCTGTGATACCATTTATTTCATGCCATAAATACTTTATTATTTATCAAATTCCATTAAATAATCAACATGTGGCTTTGTTGAGGAGCGTTCTTGTTGACAGACATGATTAGCGAATAATAAAAGAACGCAATGTGGTGTCCAGATTGAAAGACTTCCCCCCCTTTGAACACAGACTCAAGCAAAGCAGCTATTCAGCAGTGGGATGGATCCTGACTACTAAAGAGGAAGAGGGAGAGAGAGATAGAGAGAGGGAGACCGACGGCGAAGGCGAGAGAGAGAGAGCAAGAAATGGGGGAGTGGTGGGAGAGAGAAAGGAGGCGAAAATCAGAGTGAAAGGCTCCACACGGCAGAATATAAATCTGTATGTTAACAGGACTAAAGCTCGGGGGTCTTGAGGTGGCTTTAGTGCTAATGCTGCTCGGGGGGTGCTTATAAAGCCTCAAGAGGTGGTCTTCTTTCTTAACTGTGGATCTGTGCAAAAAAGGAAGTGGAACCCGTGGAATCAGTGAACGCCGGTGTGTCAGGCACGGTGGTGGGCTGGTCGGAGGTCTCTGACCCCCTCATTTTCATTTCTTGGAAGAAAAGAGAAGCGCTAAGAGACACCAGAGAAAAAGGAAGGTGACAGCGAGGGACCAGTGAGCCATTTCTCTCTTTATTACTCTCATTCAGAAAACCATTGCCGCCTATTATCAATGCGATGTAGAGGCATTCTCTCCGATTGGAGGAGGAAGGGTCCCATTGACTGCTGAGGCTTAGCGCCCCTCTTTAAACGCTAGTCCTTTTCATCTCATTCCCCCCTCTCATTGCCTATATCCTTCTGTCTGCTGTTTTCTGTTCTCTTTCCTTGTCCCTTTCTTTTGACTCGACTCAGGAATCAGGAGACATTACGTTTTTGGTAGAAGTGGGTGTTTCTGTCATTGTTATTGGTGCCTCTGCAAAGGACAGCTGAGCGTGGAGAGTGAGAGACAGCTTTGGAGATAATAAAACGGCAAACTGAACGAAAAGGGGGGACCTGGCACTCCAGGAACAGCTGACAAACCAATGGCATGCGAGACTCGATGAAAAGAAAAGTGTTACAGAGTCTGACAACCATTTTAAGGTAGCTATTTACTGAAAATATTTCTCCTTCTTGGAGAAAAAAAAAGAGACAGTGTGCCAAACATCACTGCTGGTTACATTTTGCTTTTCCTGTTGCTAAGCAAAGTCTCTAACCTGAAGTTCGTTGAGTACTGAGCATCACTTTACAGCCATGAAAGGAAGCTCAGAGGAAAGCATTGAAAGTGTCAGGCCCTCGAACCTGCAAGCATTTGCCAACATATCCACCCTACATGGCATGAGCCACATATTTGCCTACGGACACATGACATTCCGTCGATTTCTTTGGACTATTTCTTTCTTGGGCTCATTAAGCTTACTGATGCTGGTCTGCATGGATCGGGTGTCGTATTACCTAGAGTATCCTCACGTCACCAAATTGGACGAAGTGGCAGCCACAAACCTCACCTTTCCTGCTGTTACCTTCTGCAACCTCAATGAATTTCGTTTCTCCAAAATCACTAAAAATGACCTTTATCACGTTGGAGAGCTCCTGGCCCTCCTTAACAATAATCACCAGATCGCCAACCCACACTTGGCTGAAGCTGAGGTTCTGGCTGTACTAAAGGAAAAGGCGAACTTCCAGAACTTCAAGCCCAAGCTCTTCAATATGACAGATTTCTATAACCGAACAGGGCATGACATCGGTGACATGCTTCTGCAGTGCACCTTTCGGGGAGAGGATTGCTTCGCTGTAAATTTCACCACAGTAAGTCACCAGCTTGCAATTTGCACTCTTTTTATTTATTGTCAGAGTTGGCAGTCTGTCACTTTTTTATTTTTATTTTTGGAGACGTTTAGATTGGGTTCCAGTTTCAACTGTGCAGTTTGTTTTAAAAAGATGCCTGACTGCAGTAATTTTCTGCTTTAAGATGGAGGACGTTGTAGTTAAGTTTTTGTGAATGACTTGTAAAGCTTTGTTGCAAGTGTTGGTTTGCATCCATTAGCCATGCAATGAACAATTGCTGAAAACTCTTGAGGTAAAGATGTGTCCAAAGCAATGCTCCCTTTATTTTCTCAGTGATCCGTGAAGACGGCTCTCTGGATGACAGAAACATTTTTGATATGTTTTGTATCTTGTCATTGCAATTCAAGAAAACTTTTTGCCCACTGTTAGTTTGCGATCAAAAAGAAACCAGAGTAGGACCAGCCGTTTTAGAGCTCTCAATATTTTTTCTTTTATCTTCCGCTTCACACACTTCAGTTTACAGCATATCATGTCAGTCAAAACAAGAAGAGGGAGAATCTCCCTCTCGTCTGAACCACTTGGCTTTTAAGGGATTGGCTTCCACCAGGACTAATTAGAGGGGTGGAGACATTCACATTTCTAGAAAGAAAGAGCATTTGTACTAAACTATTCCTAAAAAAATGTCTACACAGTTACATTTAACTCAAACAAAACTAGAAACAAAAAGAACAATCGGGATCCAAACATAATCAAAAATACATCTCTCCTCCATCTCAGACAATTAATTTTCCCAATGAGGCTGATTGAAAACACCAGGTACTTGTCAGCACTGCTCATGGGCGCGCTTCCATGGCAGCACATGACCAGGTGACCTCAAAGAGAAGAGAAGATGATTAAAACAAGTAAATAAATCAAGTTACATTCCCCAAACACAATACATTTACCCAAATAAATTAGAATATATAAAGTACACAAAAACAGTACTTGTTAGGGAGGGGGTAAATCCCTCACACCCACTCATTTTGGAGAGGTAATTTGAGCATCATTGGTGAAATTGATTAATTTCCTCATAAACTTGTGGAGCTGGGAATTTGTCATCCTAATCCTATCTGATCTACCAGCCATTACTCATCACTGCTTTAAAATGGTTTTCAGTTGTAACTACGTAGGAGTAACAGCTTATTTCTGTGGTTATATTTTATTACAGTAATGATAAGAAAAGGTGCAGTAGTGCTGAACGTTAACCAAGCATTAGTCCTCACTGTCTGCCCAGCTGTGCTCTTCAATCACTGTACAAGATTACTCTGGTACAAGTCTGTAAGAGTGAGGTAACAGCTATTGTATTACCTGTCTAATATTATGGTCAAAGTAACACTAGTAGTAGTAGGTCTTTTAGCGAGTTAATGTGAGAACTGCTGTGCTTTGCTGACGATCAGGATAGACCTTCATAAATTTTACTTTTAGTGATAGTTTCTGTTTTTTTGAGACAGACCTTTGCCCATGTTTTCCTGGTACATGACTCTGTTTCTAGTAAGTACTGTCATCAGCCTACAGAGTTTCTGCTTGATATGCAACATTTTTAGATGGGTGTAACTTCTTAAGGAAACTAAAAATGACACGATTCATAATTTTCCAATAGTATATTTCATTCTAAGGAGATCATTGAATTTTACTTTAGCTGTGACTTATCAATTAGGCTGATCAATGCAGGTTATTAGTAAGCTATTTTATTGAAACAATTGCAAACTGTTAAATACATTACTGTGTGCTTGTGAACATGGTTGTTGGTGTCAGACAGGCTGGTATTAGTAACTGCTAGTGTACTGGGATTTTCAGGCTAAATCCCCTTTATAATAATTGAGCATGATTTAAATACCACAGTCTTCATGACTATTGTTCACCATGTCAATTCTTTTGCGACCACAGTTACATATTTTTTTTTCATAAGGATAATACACCATGTTACAAAGCTCAAATAATTCTAACTACTTTGTCAAAATGACGATGACACTAGAGAACAACAATCTAGTCTAATATTATTCAGTCATTAGATTTCAATTGACTGTTGTACCTTAGTGTTTTGGTGAAGTAGTGGACTTGCATAATAGACAATAGACTTGCGTACAAATGACAGATGTGCTGCAACTTCAGTTTTTTCTTGTTTTGTGTTGTTTTTTATCATGGTTGTCTGTCTTATCTTTCAAGTCCAAACTTGACAAATCAACATCTAACTTTATTTATCTCTCAAATGAGTTCATTCCACTTAAAAATATGACTGCATTTCTCAGTTGCATCTTTAATCAACCATGAAAGAAGTCTTCTGAGAAAGCTATTTTATAAGTGACTGGCTACAATCTGCTGAGTTGATCAAGGCGTATCTCTTCTGAGATATTAATGTAATCCTGCTTTTTGGTTTTTATGTCTTTTTAATTTGTGTCACAAATGTTGCAAATCGGAAATGCCTTCATTAACATGTTTGTTTCCAAGCAGCACTCAGGAGTGTCGAGACAAACAGGAATTATTCATGGGAGGATAATTGCTTGACAGAAAGTGTCAGCTGAGCTGGTGGTGAAATAAGTCTTCCTGTGTGTCAACTTTCTTGTTGTTTTTCAGTAGATATCTCAGTCCAGAAATGTAAAATTCAGCCTGGAATCAAACTTGAACATTCTTGTTGGTACTCACTAATCATTGTGGCATATTCTTTGGATGGAGTGCATTGCTAAACCATAAACGTTATATGCGCTCAGTGGGCAGAGATGTGTTTGTCAGGAATCGGGTCGATTATATACCCATTTAGAAGACTATCTGATGCTGTGTCTGATGATAATCTCAAACAACTAACTGCAAGCATTTGCTGTTTGCTCACTAGGAGTAACAGAGTTCTTAACAAGATTCCAAAATTGTGTTCTGTTCATTAGAATTATCCCAAAAACAAAAAAAAAACAAAAAACAAAAAAAAAAAAAAAATATATATATATATATATATTTCTTTATTTTGGGTGTTTTTAAGTCCCTTTTAATTTGTTATATGATGCCTTGCAAAAGTTTTCATTCTGAACTGTCTTAGCATACATTGCTTTTCCCAAATTGAATTTTCAATTTCTGTTGAAGGAGTTAATGTAATGAATCAACATAAAGTTGAGCATAATTGCTAAGTGGAACAGGAATGTTGTGTGTGACAAATACAAATCTGAAAAGTGTAGTGTGCATTTTTATTCAGCCCCTTCGCAACAAAATTTAGATCCACATTTACAACTGAAGGATTGTTTTTTTGTCTGTTTTTGAGTATACCCCTACCAGTTTTGCACATGTAGGGTGGATTCTCACAGTCTTGTTGTCCTGTAGAGGTCTAGTCCATTAGGTCTGAAAGTTCGGTTCATTTGGGGAGGTGTCATTGTGCTTGAACTTTGATGCAGACTTGAGCCTAAAATCATAGGTCTTGTGAACCAAGTGCAGGGTGCATAGAAAAAAAGGCAGGGAATTGTGGTTAAGCACAATCAAAATAAATGTGTGTAGCAAGATTTCCAAAGTCACATGTGGAGGGAGGACATTTTAAAACCTCTGATGCATATGCAATCAAAATTTATTATACGTGCTGGTAAGTACAAGACCAATCAAGTTTTAAAGCTAATTAGGGAGGAAGGGGAGGTTATGGGTTTCATCCATACAGTTGAGCAGCACTGCACATAAGATAAATAAACTTAGCCATCGATATATATATATTGCATGCTGTTTCTGATTATTTTTAGAGGTTTCAGAGTAAAATATTCATGTTACCTGCAAAAGCAGGTAACATGCAGACTTTATTTGTAAAAACATGGAAAATGTAGTGTTGTTCCTTGTCACAGTTGTGAGTTAGTTTGTGTTAATCTGTTGTATGAAATCTCAATAACGTACAGTTCAGAGATTATAACACATTTTGAAAAGTTTTCGGGGAAGAAATACTTTTTCAAGGATTGTATCCTTTCATATTCTCCTATGTTGTCCTATATAACAGCAGACTCAATATTCACTGGAAGTATACTAATAAACTTATAATTTCTTTTATTCAAATTCTTCTCACAGACATGTTGAGGGATGGATTTACAATGCAAAGGACTGTGTGAGTGATGAGCTTTGACCTTGAATAAATTGTGGAAGAATTCCATTAAGTCCTGGTTATGATTCAGCTGGGAAACAAAGCTTTCGAAATGTTTTCCATCATTATGGATGGGAGGCCAAGGGGAGACTGGCACTCTGCATTTCAAATGCTATTAGCCACTTTTCGGTCTTTTGTGGTTTTTGTCAGGCAAATAATATCAGTTTAGTGGATATGAGCTGGGTTTGTTATTCCCAATTTAAAAACAAATCAAGATAACTTATTTCTCTATCACCCACTTAATTTTTTGTGAATCTGGAATTACATTTTGCCTAGTTGGTTCACAAGAAAGATTGTTTATCCACACAGGATGCAAGACAAATTATCCTGAGTTGCCAGAGTGACACCTCTGGCATTAATGCTGACGGGCCTGTTGCTTTGTGAGAAAACAATTGCTATGCACTTGATTCTTGTTTTTAAACTTTGTAGTAGCATTTCTCAGTTTCCAGGCCTATGAATATTAGCAACGTCATTCTGAGAAGCAGTCAGAAAATATTTTATCTATGTGTTAGTAATTCATAATGTTCTGACTCTTTTGATTCTAACAACTGGTAAAATCCTGTAAATCAGTTCCAAATTTCAAACAGCATCCCCCTCTGAATCAGTTTAAATGTTGTTTTAATTGCCTTTGCCCAGGGGAGACAGTGTTATGAGAAATGATACCAGTAGTGTAAATTAGACAAAGTAAGATATAAAAGAGAGTAAAATTAAAAATATATTACACGTATATAGAAATATTTAAATAATTTATTTCTGTTACTTTTGATGATTATTGCTCATAGCTCATAAAACCCCAAACTCAGAAAATGTGAATATTACATAATTTAATATTGAAATTTCAACCTGCTGAAAAGGATACCCATGCATTATATACCCAGTCAGG